AATCATAATAAAATTACTCAGCATCATGTGCTGTCCGTCCAAATTGAATCAAGAACGTTACCAATAAATCTAAAAGTTACTTAAAAATATTTGCATTTTTTTGCTTCTAAGTATAGGCTAGATATTAAATAAAAATCATTCTATATTCATTTTGTACGTAACGTACTGATATGCATATAATCATATTGATTTTAAATGTATATTATAAAGCTAGATAGCTATGCGACGTCATCGCGAACGGAAGAACTAAGAAAGGTCGCAAAAAAGGTATTTGATATTATAAATTTGCTTATGATTATGTGGTAGCACGTGACTCTGTTTTAACTTAGAATTAGACATAATGGATTGCATAATACTGTACTTATAACTAATAATGGTTGCAGCTGATCCAAATTTATAGATTTGAATTAGCTAATATACTGTATATTTAAAAATTAACTAACCCAAAGTTGAATACTTGTAATTTATAAAGCATGCGCATCTAATGGCTGTGGGAGTAAAACTAATCCTCAAAAACGTATAAAAGATCAGTGATGTCATAAATTTTGAATATTTTTACGGTTTTATCACCATACAGCAGATCGTACAGAATGATTTTTAAAATAAGTATTTTTGAAATTATGGAAGATCTGGATAATTGGATGACAAAATTGTATGGTAAGAGGGTGTAAAATATCTGCCGTGTGTTATTTCGAAATAAGAGAATATTTCTAAATTCAATATAGTCGACCTTCAATAAATGAATGTTGATGGGTAAAGTTATATTCATTATGGAGAATAATCTACATATAATATTTAATAATTACATAAATTATGTGCACTTATCATTATACGTAGGGAAAGTGCGTTGTAAGATGGAAAGATCGTCACCGAGATAACTCGGGTAATTTTTGCTCGATTTGGCCGGTAATCTGCCAGATATGCCAGATATGGCAGAGATGGCAGAAGTAGCGGAAAAGGTAGATAGAATAGATAGAAAAGATACGTTATAATAGCTCTCTTATAATACAAAAAATATATAAAGACCCAATGTGTACTTGAATAAATAATTAACTCACCTTCGAGTTCTAACTACGAAGTAATAATAGTAGTAATTCTCTTAAAGCCCCTTTGCTTGAACGTTATCGTATTCTGCTTCGTATTATTAAACCATTTTAATATTCAAAATCCATTTAAGTGATTTGATTTTACAGAATTACAAATTTTGTTGCGGTAAGATTTTAATTTTTAGGTTTTAAATATTCAGTTGAGTTTATCATTCCGATCAACAAACTTTTAGTCTCATGCTATTCTATTAAATATCCTAAATTTAGCAAGATATTATATTGACGCATAAGCATTTTTATTATGTTATCTGGTATGTATCATTACGGCTTCACGGCTTACAGATTCACAGCATTACGGTATTACGGAATTGCCGTAATACAGTAATACTAATTTATTGAGTTAGACTTGTGCATCATTAGATTATCCAAGATTAACACAAACTCATTTGAACAAATACGTATGAATTCGATTATCTCAAAATCATATATTTTTGTGTTTGAATCCTCATATTGTCCATATCCAAACAAAAAATTTTAAATTAAATGATTACTGAATTTTGATTGTGTTGATAATATGTGACTTTTAGGTTTCTATTTTTCTATAAGGGAGGGAAAAGATACTGTCCGCAAAATCATTGATAAAAAGAGTAATAGGGAATCGATTATATAGAATATTTGCCGATTCCTATAAAAACTTTTGTCGGAATGAAATCAATTTTCCGAATATATACTGATTATGCAATGTTTATCATACCTAATGTTGTCAACTCAAAAATTTCTTTTATTACGTCACGATATAAAATTGTATAATATCATAATATCATACTTGCATTCGAAAAATCGATTCCTTTTTTATAATAATGAACTTGTAAACATGTGAATGACCTGGAACTTAAATTTTATGCCAAGTCTAGCTTCTATTTGACTTAACTATTATTAAACATCTATATAAGTATATATACTTTATATAAAAGCGTCGAAATTATAAATCTCTGAATATTCACATGTAGCAAAATAAACCAGTCAAAAATCTCGTCTGACTATTAAATTATGACGAATCTAAAGTAGCAATAAAATTACAATTTTTTTTGCCTTATATTCAAAAATAATTTAATTTCTTTAATTTCTATAAAAAGATATTGATTATAAATTTTATTTATATAAGTGTGTCCTGACATTAAGGATTGTGTGGTTAATTAATTACAATTTATCATGGAAACAAAAGTGATTAATTTTTTCCTTTCCTTTTTTTATGTATCATTAGCCCACGCTTGGTGTTCTTCACATCTTGCATACAGAGCATGTAACCGTACCTACGCAACTGATTTATTTCATATTAACGAACAAAATGGTGTGTTTTACACTTATTCTCCATATATACAAGATATTACTTATATACACAAGGGAATTCGAAATTTTTCCACCCATATATATTTATTCACTATGGATGGTTGCACCAATGATTGTAATATAATCTTTAAATTGGAAATAGGTCAGAATTTCTCTAGAACATCACCAGCTGAACACATATGCCCCTCATTTAATTCATCTCTTCCACCTACGTTTAATGTAACGCCTGTTCCCACTTATTTTGGTAATAGTCCTGACCCTTATAATCCTGCTCCACCTGGTCTCACTCTAAACCATTGTAAGTACGGAATACATATTGATAATCAGCAAACTTTCAACCCTGTTAATGATCCTTTTGGCTGTCTTGATGCATTAACCTCATCACCTCCTGGAACTCATTTAAACCTTATTCAAATTGGAAATGATGTTGACCATTTTTTTAATATGAGTAACAATTTGAGTAAATATTCTCCTTCTACAATTGTCCTAGCTAATTCAGTAAATAACTATGCAAAAATAATAAATTCAATCTCTCTCGGTATAAAGGACGGTAATGATCAGGTGGTAAATAATTTGGATTCAATTAAAGATAATATGGCTCCTAAAGAAAAAGGTCCGATTAGTTTTGGTGAAGCACTACAATTAGTTTTATTATATGACATAGTTATTATGTCAGTGGGTGTACTAGAAGGGGTGACCGTTGGAGAAGCGACAGTAGCTGAAAGTGCGGCAGTTGCAGGAGAGTTTACTGAAGCTCCAGGATCGATTTTTGTTGAAGAATCTGCTATTGAAGCTGACCTTGAATTTGCAAAAATGAGTGAAGATTTTGAAGTTGAAGCTGCAAATGGATTTGTAAAACCTGTTACTGTTGATGATGCTATAGAGAAAACAAAATATTTCCTAAATAATGCAATAGATAATATAAATCAATTTCAAAGGTATGGAACTAAAGGTAATATGAGAGATTCTTTTATTAATTTATTTAGAGCTGAATTTTCTATAGATGAATTTGAAGAATTGGGTGGATCAGAACAGATTGCTGATAGTTTCTGGGTTGATATTGATGAAGCTATGCAATATATAAAATCTATAATCAATCCGGATAATTCGGTTTACAGGCCTACTCTAGGTTCTGTGGAAGCTGGGTCAGTACAAAAAATTGAAATGGAGCAAAAAATTGAAATGGTACCGGGCTCTCGTTTTTCGTCATCAATAATTAGGGGATCATTCCGACCTGTCGAGAACAAATATGGTCTAGGTCTGAGTAATATCGGTAAAAATCCTGGAATTAAAAAAAGAGATTTGAAAAATTTTGAAAATCTTATATTTGGAGGAACTTTTGATTTAGGTATACAAGCTATTCAAAAAGCCATGAGGATTATCGCAGATAATCTCGATAAAACACCAATGTCTACTGATGAGTTTAAATCTAAAGTTAATGATATACTGTCTAAAATTAACACGGAATTTCGAAATATGTTAATTACCAAATTAATTGGAAACCCAACGTTATTAAATAATTTCCTATCACCCAAGTTAGGTAAAACTGAAGATTATGGTAGATCCGTAATGAGTGGCCTAGTAAAGGATTTTTCTACAGCACGTATAATAAGTACAGTTATGACATCATATGGTGCTGTTATATGTTCTAATGATGTTAATGATGTTGGAAAAGTATGTGGAGATTATGATTGCCAATGCAATACACCTATTGGTGATAACAGCTGTATATTTGCTGGTGGATTTGGAAATATTTCTAGCACGGGATATGATTATATAGGATATTCAAATGATGATTTAAATAAAATTAAACAGTGGAGAAATATATCTGACATTTGTCAAAATATCAATGGTTGGAATTTCCCGCATGCTGAGTGTACTGCTTCTACATCATGTGGTACTAATCTCAATCCATTTTTTACTTGCTCCAAATCAGCTGCTGATTGTTCGCAATATGATGATAATATATGGCCATTACTTTTTTGGTAGCAATAGAACTTAATATTTCAGATATAACTTCTATTATGTATTAAAAGTTAATTTTATATTAAGTAAACTAAATTTAATTTTAAGTAAAATTTGTTCTGTATAACAAATTATATATAATTCTAAATTTTAAAATTTTTAAAAAATTTTAAATTAAATATCATTATTAAAAGAATTACTATTTGTATACTAGTGTATATACTGTGAGGGGTTTATGTGACCCCCAAATTTATTTTTTTCTATTATTTTATTTTCTTTTACTATTTTTTAATATTGTTTCAGTTAGCATAATAGAAAGTTCTTTTGATTGGCTAATATAGTACAACTGTAATATAGATTATTACACAACTATTTATATTAATTTTAGAGTATCCCATATAAAAATGCAATCACTTATGTTATTTATAATAAAATAATTTTTAGAATATGTTGGTCTTTTACTTTACTAGCAATTAGAAATTTAATCTTATATAATCCCATTTTTAAGAGACTTTTACTAATACTATATTTTTTTAATAGTCTAATAACAGAATATAATGAAAAGTATACAGTTAAGTAGACTTGTAAAATTTTTTTGCTTTTTTTTAAAAGCATTATTTTTAACAGTTAATATATATTTGTAATTAAGACTACAGGCCTTTACAAAAGTGATCTGAATAATATTTAATCACTTGTATAAAGAGTATATCAATATGAAAAAAAAGCAATTTGAGTTAGTTATTGTATTTTTTTTTATACTTTTAGCATTGCTTCAATATCTAATATAGTTTTTAAAATTTGTAATAAACATAGTAGTTATAAGAGATTTGAAAGATACTTTAATAAAATATGATAATTTCAATCAGGAAGCTAGATTTCTTTATAAGTTTAGTATAAATATAAAATTAAATAGTAATTAAAATTTCTGAGTTGACTCTTTTTTTAAAGTATTTTAAACTATCTAATATAGAGTGTTCTCAAGCATCTAAGTTGAAAATAATGCCACTTTTCTGAAGATAAAGACTATCTTTTTTTTAAAGTTAATTCTAATTGCCAATAGTTTTTATTAATAAAAAAAAAATTGTTTTAATATTTTGCTTTATACAATGAATTGTGTATATAAATTTTTTTTTATATACATATATTTATTACCTCCAAACAGAATTTAAAATTTGGATCAAGTACAAATGCAGTTGTATTATAAGTTTTAATTATACATACTAGTTGTATACATGTGTATATAAGTTTTATTTTTATATTTACTTATTTATTGTTTCTAAGTAATCCATTTGAATAAAAATTTAAAAATTACTATACTAGTATATCTTATATTTTTGTTTAATTTTTTTGAAATATTTTGGATATTTTCTCAAAATTTAACCTCAACTTGCTCATATTTCATGTTTATTTATTTTTCTTTTAGACCTTTTCAGAATATCTTTAATCTATCCATATTTTAAATTTTAGTGCAATAAAATTTTATAATTACTCTTGCATATTATTTTTGTGCAACTTCTTATTCAAATTTAATTGCACACTTGTGTATATATATTTAGAACTTCTCTTGTACAAAAAAAAATCTACTTGCACATGTATATCTTATACAAGCCAATTTTAAATCCTGGTTTCAAAGCAGGACTGCTATTATGATCTGCAATTATTTTATTTCTTATATTTATAATATAGTTACCCAATCTGGATATTTGATGTATATAAATCTCTTCTTTAAATATAATTTTAAATTCTGTATTACTTAAATTTATCTTCCTAGTGATAACTCTACTACAAGACTTTATATTTAAAATTTTATAATTCAATAAGTTCAACAAATAATATCTTCTAACTTACTTCTTATTGTTTTTGGTAATTTCAATA